AGACTTTTAAAAAAAACAGCTGATTGCTTTTGTTGTCGGTGAGATCGGAGGAGCTCTGTGTGCTGTGCAATAACACTCGGTTTGTCTGCCTGTTCGTAAACTCGTTATTTCTGTTAAACTGTTTGTTTGCACCAAATCAGACTGGATCAATATCCACGATCAATATTCAGTGTCTGAGTTTCCGCAGTACAAAATAAAGAAAACTTCTCATTTTCTGTCGACTTTATTGACCGCTTCATATTTTCCATCATGTGTCTCCTGCTCGAGTGCGGGCTGTTCATATTAAAGACCCCAGACTGCTCGAAATCTGTTTTGGTTTATTTTCTACTCTGCTCTGTATTATGTCAATATCAGGTTAGCAGGTCGCCCCCCTAAAAGCCTTCAGTTCATCCAGATCTGCAGCGAAAAACTGGCTTCTCATTGGCTCTTAGTTAAATCCAGAATTTAATTTGAGATCCTTTCCCTCAAGGTCTTGAATCAGGTGCTGTTATATCATAAAGACCTTTTAGTATCCTAGCCAAGCACTTTGCTCTCAGACTGCAGGCTTACTTGTGGAGTATTTAAAGTAGACTGGGAGGCAGAGCCTTTAGCTTTCAGGCTCTTCTGCTCTTCTTCTCCCAGTTTTCCAGCTTCTCTCTACTTTTAAGATTAGGTTTAAAATGTTTCTTTCTACAAAGCTCATAGAGAAGGCTACGCTGCTATGAGCTGTTTATACACTATCACAACATGTCCTCTGTCCTGTAGTTTGTCTCTTTCCTCTCACCTCCAACCCATCTCAGCCGATGCCTGCCCCTCCCAGAGCCTGGTTCGGATGGAGGTTCTCTGACTGTTCAAAATGAGTTCTTCCATCTCACAACTTCTTGTTCACATGATCGACTGATCGTTGGGGTTCACCCTCTGATGTTGCCCTGCACTACAAAGCACACTGAGGTTACTAATACGGTCACTTTATTTATGCCAAGGCTCACCTCTGCTAAAAGAAGTCAGTGATTTAGACCTCTCTTCCCTGTTTGAAGCAACTGAATTACAAATTATCTGTCAAATGACATCTTTTGCTGTGAGGCAGACACCAGCCAAGAAGTCTGTATGAGTGAGATGACATGCCTGTATTTTATTTCAGATTAGCAGACATGAGAGATGCATTCATGGGAAATTGCTAAACACACCCTCTCCTCCCTCTCATTCAGATATGGTCACTTCCGGCTCCTTAACACGACCAGAGTCAAGTCAGGGATGTTATTGCTGCTGCGTACTTTTAAGTACAGTGTATGGACATGCTCAGTGGTAAACAGTCAGAGGAATGACCTTTGCATTCAGTCATGCACCTTTACAGAATAGAATGCATTGGTGCAAATTAACAGACGCATAAAGAAGGTAAAATGAGCCATTTGCTGCTCATATCTTGTAAATTGGTGCGAGATGAATCAAAGTGAACGTTCAGTCCTCTTGCAGCTCCTCAGTCCTCCTGTAGGAGGCGCAGCTCATTACAAACGACCGAGTGTGGAGTGTGGAGGCTCGTCTGTTGTTCGTGTTTCTCCGTCCGCTTATTGATCAGCAGATTTTTGTTTACAGCGGAAGCTCCACATCCGGGGATGTAGAG